TCATTCTGAAATTTTCTGAATATTTGTTGCACATCTGCCGGTGGAAAAAGGCGCGACGCCAGCGATTGGAATCTTTATCTACGTTTTGCCAAAATATTACTGATGATTACAAAAGGTTGATAGCATGGTTGAACGAAACAGAAATTACACTAAAGCAAATGAAAGCTAACCCGACATCCAAATTTGGCGAAGTATTAAACAAAATAAAGAAATTGCAAGTTCTTAAAGCAGAAATGGATATAAATCAGAAGAAATTAACATCTCTACAAGAATCAATTCAGGATGGTAACAGCTCGTCTTTAGAATACGCGGATATTTTGGAAAATATGAAAAATCTGCAAGATCGATGGGAAGCCGTTGGACAAATCATGGAAGTACAATCCCAAAGGGTAATTTAAGATTTTAGAATATTACATATAAAATATATTTTGTTCTTTAATTCTTAAATAATATATTTTTCTTATATTGCGCATTAGATAACAAATTCTGGATTTGAGTTTGATTTAAAATTTGACGAAAACATAACAACTATTAAAGGAAACGAATGGATGTCTGAAACGATAACAAGTATAGCATATAAAGAAGAGATTACTGCAACAGTATATATTTTCTTATTATTCTCAATATTTTTTGTATTCGGTTTTCGTGACTAATAAAATACTTTTATTTTCAGTCAACACCACATAGTGATTCAAAGAAACAGCGTGTTGATAATACTACTAAACATGAGTTCAAATCGGCATTACTTCAACTATATAAATGGTTGGATTACGTCGATTTAGAAATCGGCCGTTCGGAAGGAGTGTTTGACGAATTAAGCGTGGAAGAGAAGAAAGTTGTCTATGAAGATACTCTTACAGATATGGATTCGCATAAAAATGAATATGATAAAGTTCTTGAAATTGGTAAACGACTTATCGATGAGTTAAAAAATGCGAACGAGTCCATCGAAGAAGAAGAATCCAAGATTAAAGATATACAAAATTGTTGGACAGCGACAAATAATCGTCTTCATGAGATAAAGAGACGCATAGATTATCTGGAGGAAGTAAAGAAATTCCGGACTGAACTAGCTAGTCTAAATTTGATGTTGGAAAGTACACCAAGTGGTTTGATATAAATAAAGAAAACAATCAAGAACCATTTAGGGTAAGCTAAAATATTGCCTTTAATATAATTTAATTTTTAATATGAATGTACGTTATTTTAATCTTAATCTTAAAACATTTTATTCAGGTTAAAATGAAATCAATGAAATCCCATGATGAGCGCATAAGAAAAATACTTGAAAAAGCAAAAGAATTGTCAGAAAATCAAGTTGCTGTTACAGAAACTAGTAATATGGACACAGACGTAAAAACTTTTTTGACTAAGTGGGAGAATTTGTATGCAACGTAAGTATTATTGTAAATATATACATATACACATATTATAAATTTGATGTGTTGCTTAATAGAACGTAACATTCGCAGGTTATCCGAACGATTGACTGAAATAATTGATGTCATTAATCGAACACCGCCTAAAAAATACATTAAGGCAGTCACCAATCTGATATCGTTTATATTAATCATTACATTATTAAATGTGGAAAGTGTTCTATTGTCAGAACATATAATTATATTAGACGAGAAAATTATGGAAGAGCAAATAAAAAGATTTAAAGATACAAAAAGCTCGTTAAAAAAACAGGAAGAAACTTTCAAATATGTTAACTCTACTGGACAAGATTTAATAGCGAAAATAAATGATAATTCTTCAGGACAGCGACTTAAAGATGAATTGCAAGATGTAAATACTAAATGGAGTAATATTCTTATCATTTTGGAAGAGGAACAACAGACTCTTACCAAAAGTAAATAGAAAATAAAATACGTGTAATATAATGCAAAAGTGCTTGTTTTTTATCTAGTTATTATATTTATATTATGTTATGACTTTATAAGAAATTTATTAATATAATGCATGTTTCAGATATCACAATTTTGCAAACGTTTACTGAACTTTTTACTCTTGAATCTTGGTTGGAAAAATCGTTATTGTATCTAGAAAATTTATCTAAAGATATTATGGATAATGTCAAAAAAATAGAGCATAAATTAGAGCAAATTCGTTTGTTTTCTCGAAAAATAGATAAAACAAAACCGCAATTAGAAGCACTTCGATTATTAGCAAATAGAATATTCGAAAAATCTGAACCTAATTTTGCAAGCCTGTTAAACAGCAAATTGGAAGTAGTAACATATAAATGGAACACAATTGTTAACAAAGCTAAAAGTTTAAACGACAAATATAAGAGTACTTTAAAGAAAAATGATAACGTAAGTATACATGATCTTTATCAATAAAAATAAAAATATTTTTTGTTGCATAATAATTTTGTTTCCGTTAGATTATTAATAGTATAGAAGATTTTACAAAGTGGCTGTCAAGTTTAGAAAAGGAGATACCAATAGAGTCAATAACATCTTCAGTTGAGCTGTTTCAAGTTCGTGGTCGATATCAAGCGCTGAAAGACAACATTGACAAACGAGTGGAAGAATTTAGAAACTTGAACAAAATGGGAAATGATAAACTATTAAGTTCAGAAGGATCATCCGTTCAAGAACTTGGTAGACGCTTCACTTTCTTAAATGCACGATGGACAGATGTTACAGATCGTATATACAAACGCTATAGACATTTACAAAATGTTAGTTATGAGTACGGGGAATTTCGTGCTTTAGTGGCACAGGAAAGTGATTGGTTGTATAAGTTAAACAAGCGATTAAAAAAATCGCCTAAAACTGCTGCAGACGCGGAAGAAATTTTGGAAGAGCTGGATGTGAGTAAATTGTTCAAATATAATAACTTACTCAAATTATAACAAATCATAACTTACGATAATTCACTCCGCGTAAACGGGTGATGCTTCCAGAGACCCTTATGTATAACTTTTGATTATTCATTCTGCGTAAACAGGGATCTCTTTCTGCTAGAGACCACTCGTTTACGCTCATTGAAAAATCACAAGTTATTACATAAACGCTTATTACATAACGCTCGCGTAAACGTAGTAACAGTTTCGTAACGTAATATTGAATTGGCAGCAAATAATGCTAGCAATATATATATCAAAAATATTATAAAAATGTCTGCTTTTTGGTATTATGTTTCGTTTGCTAGAGCTACTCGAACAATTTCATGAAGTAGTTATACTTCCTTTATCTTGTGAAAAACTTTATTACTACGTTTACGCGATCGTTGCTTTTGTAGTAACGATAATTCCTTCGCGTAAACGGGATTTTCCTTTACGTAAACGGGATTTTGTAGTAACTTACGATAATTTACTCCGCGTAAACGAGTAAATTATCGTAAGTTACTACAGAAGTAACGCTCGCGTAAACGTAGTATGTGTATTTATGAGATTTTGTGGTAATATTATCTTATATTACGTTTATGCGAGCGTTATTTTTGTAGTAACTACGATAATTCCTTCGCGTAAACGAAATTTTGTAGTAACTTACGATAATTTACTCCGCGCAAACGAGTAAATTATCGTAAGTTATTACAGAAGTAACGCTCGCGTAAACGTAGTATTAGTAGCAAATAAAACAATTGGCCGTATTTGTAGTATGCGTTCAATGTGTTGATTAATGACTTTAATTAGAAATTACTAAACTGGAGCTCTATTCTTGAAAAATATTGCATACGATGAATATCACACTCTGCAACCAATAGCACACTTGCAAAGTGTGATTTTCTGACATTCCTAAAATATCGTATGCGATATTTGTCGAGAATAAAAAGCCAGCGGCACACGGAGATGTTTTCCTGCTGGATTGCTTGCGATCTAATAAATTATTAAAAATCTTGAGTGCTGAGTGGTGCAATTATAGCAATTTACTAGATTGCAAGCGATTCAGCAGGAAAAAACATGCACCGTATGCCACTGGCTTAAAGTCCCTACTCACTGCTGCTGCATTTTACTGCCCATGAAAACCCACCTTTATTCTCTAGTATTGGCGCGTCCTGTGCAAGAATCAAACCGTTAACGTAGTTCATTTGTTTCAATCTATTAAAACCTACTGAAACCTGGATTGCTTCGTTGAAGATTCATTTAGTGTAAAAATTCATTTCAGTGTAAAAAAATGGCAAAATATGTGTTATTTGTATGCAATCACCATAAATATCACGTGAGAAGTAAAAAATTGAGGAAAATGACTGTTAAATGTGACAGAAATCGTAAAAAAAATGTTTTTTACGTGTAATTGCACAAAATAGTAAGTAACATTTTGTACTATCTAACACATCATTCCATATCCTATTAATTATTTCTACATAATTTTTATCTAAAATCTTAAACCAATCTTTGATCATATCCTTGTCTGCAAAACACACTGTCTCCTTCTCCTCCTCTAATTAATATTTATTCTCATCCTCCATGTTTCCACATCTTACTTTTAGTAATGCTTTAATATTATTCCCTGAATTGCCTTTCCCCATGTGTAACTCCCTCAAATACTTCGGACCTTTTATACTTCTTTCTAGTTTCTTATGAAATAATTGAAATTAAATATTCTATTTTTACAGAAAATAAAGTCCATCTTTCTGAAGTTGCTAAAAACTTAAATACAAATAATCCATGTATTGTTTTGGAAAATGTAAAATTAGTGGCCAATAACAACAGTAAGTAGTGTTAAGTACTGTTAGTAGTGTAAGTAGTTTTAGGGGGAAGTCTCGTGTAACATGCTAAAAAGTAAGGTAACTTTTGAAATTTTTTTTTTGAAGAATCAATGCGATCTTTTTCAAACTTTTACAGTATTTTATTATACATGTCAAGAAATAAAAAATTTTTTTTGTTAAAAAATAACAGTTGTGTTAAGAATTATGGAGGTTACGAGGCCGCGGTTTCGTCGCCAGAGTTGTAAATCGGCGGACGTTATAACGCCTGTTGTACTCGCCTGAAACAAAAATTAAAAAAATTTTCTTATTTTCTATAAAATTACGTCGTCGATGAACCTAAAAAAAAGGTAAAACTGAAAAATTAAGGAAACGACGAGACTTCAAAAAATTGCAATTTTGACAAAAAAATTGTTTTTTTAAGTCCCGCCGTTTTCCTTAATTTTTCACTTTTACCTTCTTTTTTAGGCTCATCGACGACGTAATTTTATAAAGAATAAGAACATTCTTTTTTATTTTTGTTTTAGGCGAGTACAACAGGCGCTATAACGCACGCCGATTTACAACTCCGGCGACAAAACCGCGGCCTTGTAACCTCCATAGTTCTTAACACAACTGTTATTTAAAAAAAAAAAAAATGTTTTTTAATTTTTGAAATGTATAATAAAATACTCTAAAAGTTTGAAAAAAATCCGTTGCATTAATTTTTCAAAAAAAAAATTCCAAAAATTACTTTATTTTTTAGCGTGTTACACGAGACTCTCTCCCTTAAGGCCATTGCATATAACAAAATTTTAGTCATAACCGTAAGGCCGTAAAAGAATTGACTAATCACAATGGATTCTTTTTTAATTGCAAGAAAAATAATTAACCCTAGAATCCATGACTGGGGTCGATTTCGACCCCAGGCGAACTTTGAACTACGCTCCTGAGCTAGCGAGTGACATTATCGACTCAGGACCTGAACCATAATTCATTTCAACTTTCTAAAAGTAGGGTTATGTCGGGCGCAGCGTTAGTTGTTCGCTAGCAGTGAAGTAGCACAGTCGCAAAGCGGGCGTGGGGTCGATATCGACCCCAGTCGTGACTTGCCGTTTGAGTTTCGTCACGGTAAGCTAATTTTATTTTTTTGCTAGAATCAATATATATCATGTATTATTACGTAATCTGAGCATAAATAGTCATAAATATTATTTAAGACGAAATATCACACAATTTAGTCGGTAAAAATCCCGTTGCCTATAGAAGATTGACATTTCGCAGAAAATGGCTGGGCGATATAATGTTTCATTTTTTTCATATTTTTTACTATTTTGTATCAAATAAAAATGAAATAATACTTAAAATACAATTTTTTATGGTTTTTTCATCGACTTTTTCCGTATTTCAACTTTGCGAATTTCTTCATCTTTATAGTCCCAAATAAATATACTTTTTGAACAGAACATAGCGATGACAATTTTTTTTTAATAGTCTAATGTGTCCTCTTTAAAACCCCGTTTGAATTTTTAAAATCGGTTGATTACAAAAAAAGATACAAATTTTTGTTTAAAAAAAGAGGTTTTTGCTGATTTTCTGCGTTTTTCAGTCTTTAAATGGATTTTTCACTAACTAAACTTGAGTAAAATTAAATTTACCGTATACCATTCTCTTCGTTATTAAAAAACGAAGAAATTTATGTAGGTTTAAAGGCCCTTTATTTCTGTAGGACCGGTTTTACGATCAAATAAAGCGTGGGGTCGATATTGCCCCCAGTCATGGATTAGAAGGTCAAAAAAATGAGTCATGGATTCTAGAGTTAACTGATTGGTTAATTTTCTTACGGCCCTTCTTACGGTTACGACATGGACCAGAGCACATACCCTGATAGCACAGTGTCAGTTGGTGCCGTCATAATGCCGTCGTGGTGCTGTTAATATGCACGAAATTCGTGTATATTAACAGCACCACGACGGCATCATGACGGCACCAACTGACACTGTGCTATCAGGGTAACATGATGTAACGACGACGTAGTCCCCAACCTGACAGATCAGGATACGCCAAAGTTTGTGCGTTACTTAAGGCCATTGCACGTAACAAAGATTTAGCCATAATCGTAAGGCCGTAAAAAAATAAACCAATTACAATCGATTATTCTCCTCGCGCTCGAAGAATTGGTCTATTTTCTTATAGCCTTACGATTACGACTAAAACTTTGTTACGTGCAATGGCCTTTACGTCAACGACTATGACTGTCATAGTCGTTGTGCTTTGGGCCTAAAATTTTGTTACGTACAATGGTTTTGAAATTGTATACTGGATTGCATTTTTATTATCTACTACAGATTTACATATGTTCTTATTTCTTACCGTAACTACAGAAATACCACAGCGAGATATTTGCACTACTAATATGGACTGTATCAATACCAACAGTTTGAGTAACGGCATTGATTTGGACAATAATGTGATATCTTCTCTTGATAATAGAATTGGCCACGGTGAGAAAAGTAACGCTAATAATCCTATGATACATGCTGAGTCTGATAATGCCATGATATTTTCCAATGACTGTGATAAGCATAGTAAAATGAAAGTAAAGGCTGTAAACCTTAACGTAACATTTTCCTGTAATAATAGCAATAGTTATGAAACGTTAGATGATAATATTAATATCAACAATTCCACGAA